CAGCATTCAAGAAACGGTTGTTTTTGAAATGATAACCATCTTTAACAGACCTGTACTCATAAGATGGGTCAACTTCAGTTTCGTCCTTTCCTCTATGACTTTCAAGTACCTTATCAAGAATTGCTTTTCTATTTAAACGTTGCTGTAATGATTGTAACAGTGGGACATACTGAAATGTGCGCTTCTTTTTTTGATCAAGTATGTAGGTAACTGGTTCCACAACACCAAACGTTTCCCTGTAAAATTGTTTATGTTGATATGTGGTGCTAAGAGGGCCTCCTTTTCCTATTGCTTTTTGAAGAGGGTCAGATAAACTGCTGCAAGGATTTCTTCAACTACAGAGTCTTCAACTTGAAGATGGTGACGGCTAAAGATGTCAGTTATGAAGTCTCTAGATACTGGGACTGATGCAGCGCTTTTTAAATAAAGTTCTTGTAAAAATTCATCAATAGCTGTACCTGGCACATGTACTAAACACTCCAACTTCAGTAAGGCCGCTGCAAGCTGCTGCTCTATTGCATTTGGCAGGGCTTTATCTTGATCTCTGCAATCTACCGATATACAATTTGAATCCTCCTCGACAAATTCCTCACACTTTTCATCAGGAAATGATGACAGAGATGCTACTGTAGATTTCTTCACAGTACCTGGTTTAAAATCTGCAAGGTTATGGGGTGTATGTCTGCGACTCTTGTGAGATTTAAAGGTTCCATAAATACAAGTCTGAAAACTGCAACCAACAAACATGCAAGAAACATTTTCATTTTTCTTTAGATGTGAGTTGATATGAATAAAGTACTCCCTTTCATTTGCCAAGTTTTTGCAGGAACATAAGTGACAACTAACTATAGATAACTCTTTCAAAATCTGACTGTCTTGTGAAGAATGCACTCTACTTTGATGTACATTTAAGGCGTTCCATGTCTTAAATGTGCATGGGCATTTTGAATACATACATGGATAACGGGAAGTACGTCCAAAGTGTGGATGTTTGAGTTTGTAATGATTAAGTAGCTCCAATATACAATGGGGCAAAAAAGTATTTAGTCAGCCACCGATTGTGCAAGTTCCCCCACTTAAAATGATGACAGAGGTCAGTAATTTGCACCAGAGGTACACTTCAACTGTGAGAGACAGAATGTGAAAAAAAAATCCATGAATCCACATGGTAGGATTTGTAAAGAATTTATTCGTAAATCAGGGTGGAAAATAAGTATTTGGTCACCTCAAACAAGGAAAATCTCTGGCTCCCACAGACCTGTAACGTTTTCTGTAAGAAGCTTTTCTGTCCCCCACTCGTTACCTGTATGAATGGCACCTGTTTGAACTGATCATCTGTATAAAAGACACCTGTCCACAGCCTCAAACAGTCAGACTCCAAACTCCGCCATGGCCAAGACCAAAGAGCTTTCGAAGGACACCAGGAAAAGTATTGTAGACCTGCACCAGACTGGGAAGAGTGAATCTACAATAGGCAAGCAGCTTGGTGTGAAAAAATCAACTGTGGGAGCAATCATCAGAAAATGGAAGACATACAAGACCACTGATAATCTCCCACGATCTGGGGCTCCACGCAAGATCTCATCCCGTGGGGTCAAAATGATCATGAGAACGGTGAGCAAAGATCCCAGAACCACACGGGGGGACCTGGTGAATGACCTGCAGAGAGCTGGGACCAAAGTATCAAAGGTCACCATCAGTAACACACTACAATGGCAGGGAATCAAATCCCGCAGTGCCAGACGTGTTCCGCTGCTGAAGCCAGTGCATGTCCAGGCCCGTCTGAAGTTTGCCAGAGAGCACATGGATGATACAGCAGAGGATTGGGAGAATGTCATGTGGTCAGATGAAACCAAAGTAGAACTTTTTGGTATAAACTCAACTCGTCGTGTTTGGAGGAAGAAGAATACTGAGTTGCATCCCAAGAACACCATAACTACTGTGAAGCATGGGGGTGGGAACATCATGCTATGGGGCTGTTTTTCTGCCAAGGGGACAGGACGACTGATCCGTGTTAAGGACAGAATGAATGGGGCCATGTATCGTGAGATTTTGAGCCAAAACCTCCTTCCATCAGTGAGAACTTTGAAGATGAAACGAGGCTGGGTCTTCCAACATGACAATGATCCAAAACACACCGCCCGGGCAACAAAGGAGTGGCTCCGTAAGAAGCATTTGAAAGTCCTGGAGTGGCCTAGCCAGAACAGCACTAGATAATTGCTCTGAAGTGACAACAATCTGCCTCTCAGCAGGGACAAGCACCAAATATCTGTAAAGAAAAAGTCAATACATTTCAAATAATTATATTGTCACAATGACCCAGAAAATACAAAAAACTTACAATTTCTCTGGCACTAATGACTACTGCAGGCCCTTCATACCTTTCTTTTTTTTGTAAAACATTTTTACTAACACCAGTTAACTAAATGCACACAAGTTTGTTGGAAAAGATGTTAACACGCATAATACTGCCCTGCAGCTTAAGCTAGCATTATCGTCACTTAATTTGAGGAATAATTCTTATTTTCCATTATGTTGCTCAACAGCAGTATATATGAAAAACTACCTCGGTAAAAATTCACACATCTGATAGATTTTATCTTCATTTCCTTTCGGAAATTTAGTTTTAAATTTAATTTACCTCGACAAAGTAGAGCTCTGCACCAAACGTACGCCTCCCACGAAGAGAAGAAATGGCGGACACCACGGTCAATCTTCCCTCGCAGAACACACCCTATAGGGGTAAATATGACCTTACATGAGCACAAATTTACTTTATTTTGTGGCAGAAGACAGTCGTATCCCTATTAGCTTGTTTAATGGTTAAGCCACTGAGGTTACCACCACTTAGTACAGACACTGATGCAACTTTGTAATACTCAGTAAATTTAGGCTGAAAAAAGATATAAATCTTATTTGATTATTACTAATTTATTTATCACATTTATCACACATTTATCGCATAATTTCTGTTACCATTAGCTAACTGGAGCCTTACGTTGGCCTTTCATGGTTTTTGATAAACAACCCATATTCTGCCCTCACTAGGGTGTAAAGCTGGTTTCTAGCTTGGCAGATAGCTAACAGGTCCACAATAAACATCCAGGAGTCAGCGGATACGTTTTAGATGTTTACTGTTGAAGCACTGTAAATCTGGTACAGAAACAAATATAAAATATTACATTTCTGCTGTAATTGCATTTTCTTTACAACATCAAACATTAAGTCATGCACTACAATGTATATAACACATAAACACAAACTTATCCAAACCCTTTCACTGGTTATCAGGCTCACGCATTTAGCGATTAGCTTAATGCTAACATTACATGGGAAATCCCATAGATGGGCTAACGTGTTAGCATCGCGGCCGTTTTTCCTCACAAAAGAAAGTTTTCCACACAAATCTCTAAACTGCTACACATAACTATCGCGGGAAAGCTTACAAAACAGATAGCAACTACTTACAGGCATGTGCTCTCTCAGGCTGAGCAAGAAAAAGTGAACAAAAAGTGGAATAGACGACAGTTTGTCTAAAGGACTGTTTTTCACTGGTGAGATACTACGGCAAGTCTGCTGGTACAAAAAACACACACCCAAATGATCATGCCTGCCTTAAAGGGGCAGCACAACCCACATACCAGAAAAATAACATTACATCAGTAAAAGTCCACATAACTAAAGGGTCTACACTTTTTCTCACTGGTGTTTTAGCTTTAAATTCTTATTTACCTTCAAGTAAAGAACTCCAGACGGTTTCCAGTTTCCAAAGCAAGAGACAAAAATGGCGGACGGTGCAGGCAATCCGGTTGTTCAGTGATGACTCGACGAATCCTACTTCCGGGTCTAAAGTAGTCTGCATTTAATATGGCTTTTGTGTTGTTAACATGTTTAATGTTATGTATTTTCTTCTATTTGATCTCAAAAAGCTCCTAAAACAGTCAGTGATCCCTGTTGACCTCCCTCGGCTTTTATTACCGCTAATCATTTATTTAAGCTCAGTTTTTAAAACCTTAGGGTGTAGCTACAGCCCATCCCATGCAGCAGTATATGAATGACTAACCTTGTATTGTGGATGGATTATCTCGGTAGTTCTCCTGGTTTTGTCCTTTTACAGCATCCTGCCATGCGATTACATTTGTTCCTGACCACCGAGAACACTCACGTTTAACTTTTATTGAGTGGAAAAAAAGTTAGCTTGTTTATATTATGCTAACATAGCTGTGTCGCTAGCGGTCACGTAGCACATCATTATATACCAGCTAGCCCAACTTCAGTAACCCTACAAACGTCACTGCTGTCTAGTTTTCTGTCTTCATTTATGCTGGAAGTGATAACAGAGCTGTACGTTTTAATTTATTTCCAAAACCCCGCAGTCAGGACATGCTATATTGTATCTAGATAGAAGCTAGCGAGCTAACTGCCTGCTAACTTCTAACTCCGTTAAATGTCATAAATTCCATTTTCATGGATGCCTGGATGTTAAACTCAATCGTTACACCTGGTAGAGCAGAACGCTGATCATTTTATTAAAGATCAAAGACTTTAGACAGTTTTTCAACTCTCAGTAATGCCATAGTGATCGTTTGATATATGGACCTGCAGCGGAGTTTAGACCCAGACACGGCCAGTGACGTCAGACTGAACAATCTGATTTTTCCTCCTGAACATTTCCAGGGGGTGGAGCTTCAGGAGAAAATATCACTGCTTTGTTTCTTTCCAACATGATTTAGTCTAATACACTGAACATCCTTAAAGAATATGTGAAAATGAAAAGACTAAATTATGTTGAGATGAGAAATTGAAATTAGTCAAGCTGGATATATGAAATCCTTATATGCAAATTCAACAACCAGCCTATTGCATTTTTTTCAGTGTACCTTGAACCTACTTTCAAGATATGATCCAACCTGGATAACTTTTATCATGATTAAATCTTTTAAACTGGCCCCAAGTGTCTTCTAAGTAAACCCATTCCCTGAGCCTAGGTAATTTTCTACCTGATGTAGAACTTTTGTGATCTCCTCATCTTGCACATCTTCTACAGTGGCGCTGAAACTCTGATTCCCTGTGATGTGGTTGACCAGGTTCTTGGAGAGGAAATGTGGTGCTGGTCCTCCATGCACAATGGATACAGGGATCATCTTTCCTGCTAAAAAGTACTCATCTTGCCTGGCAGCTGTTATACAGGGCACATAATTATCATGGTTAATTGCTATTAAATATGCTAATGAAAAAAATAAGCCAATTTTTATTAAAATTTCCATTGTAATAATTACGGAGAAAACATCCACCTCTTGAATTAAGATAACGGCTCTCTGGAGGTCCATCAAAGATGGGGCAATTTCTCAGACTGCCCATAAGAAGTGTGAGGAATTCACGCCTCGGGCCACCTGTATCCAAAACTTCTTCAAAGCTGCCAGCATCATCATTAAACTTGATGAACATGTAGTAGTTGTCAGAGTATGTGCTGCGTCGAAATCCTCTAACAGCTCCATCCCATACAGCTGACCTTGATATATTGAACCTGGTGACCTTGTTGTGGTCAAGTTCCAGTGCCAAATTTGGAATAATTTCATGTGCCTGCAAATTGGTGTCTCTAAAAAAAAGGGAAACTTATTTTTTAAATGTGTATATACTTCTCTTATGATTGCATGATGTCTTGTACAGAACAAGATGGCAGTTAATTGGATTCAAATGTTTAAATTACTGACACAGGTTCTTCTAGGGGCTCAGCTTTGGCTTCGTTAGGAGTAGGATCTTCATCATCAATCACAATCGGTTCAAACAGCTGTGTGTAGTTTCTGCAGAGTGAAAACATGTACACAAAGTGTAGATGCAAAAAGACAAATGCATAAACATGCAGTTCCAGTTTTATAGAACGATTCTACTATTTTTTTTTCTGAAGAATCTAATGTAAAAGAGTCAAACTACATACATTTATAATAATTGTGTGTATATATTTTGTGCAACCCTCTGGAATAATTACTCAAGATACAACGCACCTGTAACAGGAGCTCTCGACAGTGAGGCATTCAGTAGTGCCTGTATCGTTTTCTTCTTCCAAATCTATGACCTGGAAATACAGAAATGAGGACGAATGAAAATTCATATTTGACCAATTGATAACTATTTTAATATAGGGAGCCTATTTCTCCTCCCCTTCTGGTCTGCTCATGGGTCCCTGAACAAAAGAAAAATGAATGGAAGTGAATGGAGCTATAAAAGTTATTTTCTGGTCTGCTTTGTCTTACTCTCTGAATCACACATATGTTGTACTTCAATTTAAAAAATAAATAATTGTGTTTCAACTATGTCTGTAATGTAATTTGAGATTTGTTAGCTTGTAAAAATTCGTCATTAAAATGACTACAAGTCAGATGTCGCAAATATGACATCGCCTCAGAAGCTTTTCTCCCCCAGCGTAGCTGCTAATTACCACATGGCCAGATTTATAGTGGTTTTCTCCACATCATCCTGGAAGAAGGATTCGAAGCTCGCTAAACAAAACTAAGCTTTTCCTCTTCTCTGTGTCTGGTTCGATGATGTCAATTTTGTGAGAGGAACATTTACATTTCGCCACGTCTTTTCAAACAAAACCTAAAATAACCTTTGCCACCTATCGCTTAAGCACTTTTTGGCATCAAAATGTGTTTATATACTTCACGGACATCATATTTTAATTCCATGGCACACATCAAATGGGACCAGAAAATAATTTTTATTGGCTCATAGACTCCTATTTTTTTAGCAGTAGGGGACCCATGGTCCGGAAGTAGATGGATGTACCTTAGGTTCCCTATCCCAATAGATTATCTAAAGGTACAATAAGTAAGAATGAAATAAGAGGAACATCCTGTGGTCAAATTTGTGTACTGCAGTCTATCTTTATAAACAAACGAGTGACTCTCCCTCCTCCCGTTCCATGAGTTTCATGGCTACGGATCAGCGCCAGAAGATTCTAGATGACAAAGACGAGTCATACACAGTTAGTTTCAATGTAACCTTCCCTCCAACATGATTGAGATATTAGACTGCTTTGTAATTATTTCATGTACCGGTATGACTTATTGTACCTTTAAGGGGTGGATGTTATAATCTATTGATAGTATGAAAATTGAGGATGTGAAATGCATTGTATAATAACAATGAATGTAATAAGCAAACAGTGAATCGTTATCTAATTGCAAAGTAAAGGCGGTGGAAATTGTCTGCTGCACTGTTTTACTGATAAAATAGTTTTTTACCTGTTGTACTTCATTAGCAAGCACAAGATCCCCAGAACCATTCCTTAGAGAACAAAGAAAAGCATTATTGTTGTGTACTGTGAAAATATTAATTGACATTGAAAATATTTAAGCATCTTGATTAACAAACAAGCAATATTATGTATTATGTAGTCCATGTTCCAAAAACCATATACAGAATGAATGACAAAAGTGTATATCTCATTAATACAAAGTGTAGGCAAAAAACAGTAAAAGATTACATGTTCTTAAAATATCACTTACTCGTATTCTGCCGCTTTCTGTAAAGGACTGCTTTCATGTTGAAGTTCCCATGGCTGAAACAAACAAACACATGCACGCGCACACACACACAAAATGTATTTCACATACAACTATTAACTGTTTTACTGAACTGAGGCAAATGGTGGTGGCTAAACAACAAAAAAACTCTATAAAAATTCTTAAATTGTACTTACCAGTGTATCAGCAAGGTCAAACTCAGACGGCCTTTTAATAACAATCTCTGGGTCAGAGTCAGACAAGTCTGAGTTTTCTCCAACTACAAAACATGAAAACAAATCAAGCTAAGCTAACTAATTTCATACTAATGTATGAAACTTTATTTGATCATCAATAATAGATTAATACGAAAGGCATAAAGTTAGCATTGAAAACTCATGACTCAGTAGATCCAAAAATGGCTGAATTTCATGTTTCCAGGAAGAAACAAAACATATACAAGCTAATTTAGGGAGCAATGGTGGCAGAGGAGTTAAAAGCCCGCCCTGTAGTCAAAAGGTTGAAAGTTTGAGCCCTGCTCAGTCTGTCGCAGTCGTTGTCCTTGGGCAAGACACTTCACCCTCCATGCCAGGTGGTGGTAGTGGGAGGGATAGGTGGCATCTGTGTACAGCAGCCTTGCTTCAGTCAGTGAGTCCCAGGACAGTTGTGTCCACATTGTAGCTAATCACTAGCAGTGTGTGAATGTGTGTGGGTGACTGACTGGTTTTGTTGTGAAGTGTCTTGGGGGGTTGTAGAACCCTAGAAGGTGCTATATCAAATACAGGCCATTCACCATTTTAATGTAGGTATGCTATTGACTTGGGTGCTTTATGCGTAATGTTATCATTTCACAATTTCAAAATTAGCAGTTGTTGAAACTAAGGGAATGTGTGTCAAAATCCAAACAAACATTACCAGCTTACCATCTTCAAAGTCACTCTTCAAGCAGATGAAAACAGTGATTCTTTGATAAGGCTTGCCAACTTCAGCCTTATAAGCCTCAAGTATAAATGGTCTTTGTGTTCCAGGGACAGTAATGACCTCAGTGCCATCCGGATACAGAAGAAGGAAAGGTCCATCTTTTAGATCTTTGTTAAAGTCCTTCATTTTTTTTAACAGCTTGATTGAGCAGACTTGTGGCAGTAGCATCAGGGTCTGTTGTTAGGAAAATAGTTTTTCCACGGTATGGCTTCAAACCACCCTTTTTAATGGTCATCAAGCCGACATTTATCTGTAAGGAAAAAGACATGAACAATGGGCCAAGTAGATGCTAATATGACTCTAGGCAGATCTATTCAAACTTGAATATTTATTAACTGCAAAAGAGGGATCTTCCTGACAACCTTAATGTACAATTACTCGTAAACAATTGTTCTTATTCTGGATAGCTTTACTACACTGAACATTTTTTACACAACTCCCCTAAGGAATAACAAAAGAATGTCATTAGAAAATTAACCTCAACTTGTTTTCAGACTGAGCTAGCCAACCTACCTGAACCTCTTCTTTTTTCCTTTTTCTTTAAGCCCTTCCTCCCTTCAGAAAACTTTTGCCTCTCTTCATTTTTCTTTTTTCTGTATTCTATGAAGGTGCTGAAGGTTGGAGTCGGGCAGTTTGAGGTAGTCTGTGATGCTAAAGGGAAACAAAGGAAAAATGTACTACAATGTTACACATTAAAGACATTCATTCATGTGACATTCTATTGTCCACACAACACGCAAATAAGGACAACACTGAATAATTCACTAGAAAATTTCTACCAAGGAATGACAATGCAACTGATACTATTGACCAATACAATTAACCAGTAAGTTTTAATGTATAGACACATAATAGTGTTAGTTCCTAAAGTTAACCAAACATAATAAATGAACTCATTTATTATCGTTTCAGTTGTGGAAATGCTCAGAGGACTGTTCCACGAAGCAGGCTAATCCCAAAAGCCAGGCTCACTCTGAAAATCCAGGCTCGATTTCCCCAAATTCGGTTCCAGAAACGAGGCTAACCTGCAGTCTTTCTGCTCATTCATTATGCAATATGCTTGTGGACAAGTCTGGTCCGTGGCACCCTAGCTGCGAGGTTTGTTAACACTAGAACTGCCCTCAAACCTTCACTACTAGAAAGGTCTTGAGCAGTCATTTTGACAGCTGCGTGCATTTTCAAATGAGCCTCGATTTTCTGAGCTCGCTTAGTGGAACAGCCCTCTGGTCTGCTATGGTCTGGAAACAGCCAACGCTAGGCTAATAAATCAATAAATAACAAACATTTTATTATGCTTATTAACTTACTCAATGGGAGTGAGGTGTCTCCGATGCAAGATGCGTGATAAAGCCTCTCGCCACAGCCGCTGCAAAAGTTCGGTGACTCCTCAACCAGCTTTTTCCCACAGCTAGGACAAAACATTCCGCCGTTCTTGTTCAAACGAAATGCGCTACAGGCAGAGTAACTTCCGGTTCCAAAGACAAACAGCGCGGACATCCAATCAGTGAGGTCTCCTGTTGCCGACTGGTGCCTACCCTTTCCGGTTTTCTTAATGTAATTGTGCTTCTTAATTTGATTTTGTGATTCTCAGTTTTGTTTTTGTGCTTCTTAATTTGATTTTGTGATTCTCAGTATTGTTTTTGTGCTTCTCAATTTTGTTGTTGTGTTTAGCAATTTGTTTGTGTGATTTGCACTTCAGGGCCACCGTATCAGGGCCTATACTGGTGTTTTTAAAAGTTATGTTTGACTGTATGACTTTTCTGGGATGCTTAGGACTCATATTGCACTGCTGGAAATAGTTTATTTTGATGCATATGCTGCTTTTTTGCAAATTTGCAGTATAATATTCATTTTCGTTTTTCCTGCAGTGTATAAAAATTGGTGTATTTCAAAAATAAAATGATGAAGACACTCAAAATAAATTTCCTGTGGTGGGAAACTATTTTGTGCAACTTTTTTGTATTTACAGTTTTGAGGGATAAGCCTCTTAAATTTCTCTAACTAAGAAATATATGTTAAAAAATCAAAAATGATTTTCAATTTTTTTGTAGTTTATTGCACTTTTTTGCAATTTATGTAATTACTATGCACTTAAGGAATACATATTATTAAAATCTGGGCTATAATTGTTGTATTGATGTATAGCAACTTGAAATGCTCCCAAAAATGGCACCACACCATGTAAAAATATAATATAACCTCTGGCGGACTTGGTTCTATGGTAGGTCTTAAAGGGTTAAATACACAGAGGGAGCAATCAGTGAATGAGAGACAGAAGGGAAGCATAGCTGGTAGTGATGGGATTTCCGGCTCTTTTTAGAGATCCGGCTCTTTCAGTTCGGCTCACTAAATAGAGCCGGCTCTTTCGGCTCCGAACCGGCTCTTCAGGTTGTTTTGTTGCTTTAATTAATTTATTATTAACAATATTATAAAATTATGCACAAAAGGAATTACTAACGCAAAAAAGAGTTTTTATTTATATATGTTTATATATAAATATATGCGGTGGTCCCTAGAGACAAAACACGTACAAACTCCAAGACACATTTCTAGCATGAACTGAACTTCCAAAGCAGAGCTACTAGATCACTTAAATTACACAATTGAAAGCATATGTGTATTCTTTGTGTATTTATACACAGGCACTCATATATATTCAAATAATTTTTAAAAAAAATGTTCATTTACCTGTTATTAGGGCTGTGCGATATGACCCAAAATTCATATCTTGATGTTTTTTAGCTGGATGGCGATATAAGATATATATCTCGATATATATTTTTTTAAAGCCATAAAGTAAGAACAAAAAGAGAGTTCTTAGTCCAAGCTGTGTCCCAGATGTCACACAGGCACTTTTATTAACATAGAGCAGATGTACATAAAATTTACTCAAAAATAATTTATGAGCATTTATTAAATAATAATGCTCCATAAATAAAAGAAAACAGTGTTGTTTTTGTGCATAACAAAAAGCTCACAATTGTGCAGTCAAAATGTAAACTAACAGACGCTGAGCACAATAACAAAGACAGATTTCACAGCTGCTCTGTTCCCAATTTGTACTGTGTGACTGACAGCCTGGAGTTTGTAATCCGCTTCGCAACCACGTCTCTTAACAGGTGCCATTTATGGTCCTTATACACAGTAGGGTAATATTACGTTGAAGCACAGTACGTATCACTCCGCGAGGCTAAGCCGTAATGCTCCGACAATCCATCAAGCGGTGCAGCGCCGTAGCTTACCAAAGTCGTACTAAAACCTTTTTTGACAGATTGCTGAGCGCCATGTTCCACATAAAATCGGTTCGCGGCCATCAAGCACAACCAGAATTCATACATAAGGTGCGCTGTCAACTTTTGAGAAAATGAAAGGATTTTAGTCCATGCAGCACCTCTGGGCGTTAGCGTGGTTAGCTAGCTAACACGTTGACGCCGTCCAGCCCCACGCACGGGCGATGCGCAGTAACTCGTTAACGGAGATTTGCCGTGTCCATCTTGTCGCTTCCTGCAGGTGACGCGATGGGGGAGGAAGGGGAGTTGTGTTCAGTGAAGGAGAGGCGAGGCCGAGTAACGTTGCGTAAAGACAAAAGTGGACGCAAGAGAGGCAAACTTGCGGCTCCACAAGTATAGTTATAATGTAACATAGACTATATCAATATAAAGGATATTGTCACATCTTATATCTCGTATAAAAAATATATCGATATTTTTTAATAACTCGATATATCGCCCAGCTCTACCTGTTATTACCACAAAGCAAATCCGGTTGTTGGTGGTACTTGCTGGCTTTCAT